GTGCAGGTGAGCTGGCTGATGTCACCTCCACTGCCTGTGCACCCCTGTCAGTGTCATGGTATGCTGACCCTCTCCTCTGCCTGTGCTCCGCTCAGCCAGCGAGTGCCCCTGTGCTTGAGGGTGCTGACATTATCCTTGTCAGGATCCCCCGTCAGCCTCTGCAGTGCCTTGTGTCTCCTGGAGCCACTGCTTCTGCCCCACCTGACCTGCAGCCACCCTCTGCCATCCCTGGTGGGCTATGTGTAGGGTTGATCACCATCCTAAAAGAGTCCCTCTCACCCCAGAGTCTGCCTGAGGCAAACCCCCATTCCCTGTCTGCACTTGTCTGGTGACCCGCCTCTCCTTGGGCCTCCCTGCCTCTGCTGCAACTCTCTCCTGTTTTCTTGTCACGTGCTAGCTGTGGCTGTGCAGGGTGCCTTGTTGAATCCCTTCTCTGCCAGATCCCCAAATACGGGGTGTCTCCTGCCCATTCCTTGACCTCTCCTTGCCTCGTCTGTCCTTTCCTGTAGGAGAGGTCACCCAGGCGTGACCTTCGGCACCTCCCCTGCAATGCGATCACGTCCCCACGGTGTCTCCAGCACAGCCCTCTCCCAAGGGCTCCACAGCCATAGATCCCACTGCCCACTTGGCCTTCCCATGGAGTGTCTGGTGTCTTCTGAGACCTCCATGAGCAGAGTAGAGTTTTATCCTGTGAATGCACTAGTTCCCCGGTGTTTCCCTCTCAGCCAACAAGCCTCTGTGCACCACAGGGACAGGCCAGACCCGTGAGAGCCAGCGTGGCTCCTCCTGCCCTCCACTCCTGTCCGGCACCCCAGCTTTTGCCTTGATGTGGTTGGTGAGTGTGCAGAGTGGAACCTCATCGGCTCCCCGGCCACCGCCCTGGCCCAGTTGCCACCACATCTCTCCTGAGCTGTGGCTCAGCAGCTGCTCTAGAATGTCGTCCTCACACTTCACCTCAGCAGGTCGTGGCCTCCTCACAGTCTGGCGGCTTTAGTCGCACATGGGCTCGGGTCCTCTGTGCCTGTTTAGATCCCTTTCCACACTGCAATGTAGGAGCCAGGTGGGCCGGGGTCTCATCTGGGTCTGCACCCAGATCTGCCTGAGTCCATTCCTGGAGCAGTGCCTGGCGTGTGCAAGAGAGGGAGCCAGAGTTCTCTCCTCTCCCCTTTTTAATACACTCTGCTTCGGAGTGCAGTTTGTTTGAAAGCATGCTTCTGGAGTTCTGCTAAACAAACAAAAGTAAGGAAACAAAAAACTAATTTTGAAACCACTACCTTCAGGAAGGTTAAGCATCATTAAGATTTTGTTTAAGAACAGTAGCTGACATTTAAAAATATTTCCAAAGGCATTTTTCTGTTATGAGTTTCAATTTTCATTATGGTACAGATCAATGGCATTTTATTTTTTATTTTTTTAAATGTTGCCAGAGGATATGTGTGCTTGCCAGAGAAAGATGAAAGAGACAGGGAGAGTAAGAGGGAGAAAGCACCCTCCCAATGGGGCATGATTATGCCACAGTCCCTTTTCCTCTATTTCTCAATCCTGCTGGGATTTGGAGCATGAGCAAACATGTACAAGAAATTTTTTTTTTATGCCACTAGGTATTTGAACCACGTGGCTGGCCATATAGGATCCAGCACCTGTCACCACCAGACCCTAGAGTCAACCTCAGATCAGTGGGTTTTAAGTTTAGTGTGACTAGCTAGGAGCTGCATGGGCTGCCCAGCCTTGGGAGTCCCATCCACCCTGAAGCACCTCAGAGAAGGACTTCTCTTTCCCAGTGTGGCTGAGCCGAGGGGTAGGTGACAGGCATGGTAGGGCTCTGGAGAGGGCCTCTTCCTCCTGCACAGCTTTTAGGAGTATGAGAGAGCACATTTAAGCATAAGGTATGTATGAATTTGGGGCTAAGCCTGTGTTTTATGTTCCTCTGTTCAAATTCCCACTGAGCAGCAGTTCATTAAAATCCCACAGTGCACAGATGTGCCCAGGGATACAGGGTAGGGGACAAAGAGGTCCAAAGAAACAGCTCCTCTTCATCTTTCCTCCCCTTGGGGTCGGGCATACGGGGCAGGTTGGCCTGACCTCTCGAGACCTTCCATCAGCTTCTGCACAAAGTCCCCCAGTCCTCTTCCCGATAGGAGCATTTCTGACTTAGAGCAGAGTGCTGGAGAGACCGTGCAGAGGGCCTCAAGAGGCAGCTGAGGGCCAGACTGGCCAGTCTCCATTTGCTGCTGTCTTTCTTACCTATCAGATCATAGTGCAAGCTTTTGTGCAAAGAGAAATGCACTGGGAGGACACCTCAGGTTTGCTGACTTGTCCTAGGCAGAGTCATGTTCTGGGAAGTTCCCACTGGGAAGTGCTCTTTTAGGGTAAAGTTCTTACTTTTTTGATAATTGTGAAATTTGTTAAGGAAATTTTAAAAATCTATAAAAAGATCAAAACGGTAGTATCGTGAACTCCTGTGTATGCATCACCCAATTTGCTAACCCCTAGCCAGTCCTACTCCATCGCCCTTCTACACGGCCTCCTCTTACCTCCTGCTGCTTTATAAGCAAATACCAGTCGTAATATTATTTTGTCACTGACAACTTTAGGGTATAATTCTAAAGTGTAAGGACTCCTTATACTAAATAAATAAATAAATAAATAAATAAATAACTATACCATTGTCACACCTGAAAACTGACAGAGGATAGATAAACAGCAGAAAAAAAATCAGTGAAACCAAAAGTTGATTCTTGGAAAAGACCAACAAAATTGATGATTCCATAGCTAGACTGGCTATAAAAGAATAAAAGACAAAACTCAAATTCCCCAAATCAGGAATAATAGAGGAGGCACTGCTACCAGCATGCAGGAGTAAACAGATTATAATGACACTTGAATGAACAACTTGTATGCCAAGATATTAGATAACTCTGGATAAATGGAGACATTTCTACAAGGATAGAAACCACCAAAACTGACTCAAAAAGACATAGAAAATCTTAATACACCTAAAACAAGTAAGAAAAACTGAATTGTGAATTTAAAAACTGTATACGAAGAAAAGCCCAGGACCTGATGGCTTCCGTGGTAGATTCAGTCAAACATTTAATGAAGAGTTAATGCTAATTATTCACAAACTTTTCAAAAAATTAAAAGTGGGGAGAATTCTGGGACTGGCAGGTGGTATGGTGGTTGGGGCGCTGGATTCCCACATGGCTGGCCATGGATTGAATCCCAGACCAGGTGGCTTGCTTTCTGGCTCCCTCTCTCTCTCTCGTCAAATTAAAAAAATAATAACAAATGGAATTAAAAAATAAATCATTCTTTAAAAAAAATAAAGTGGAGAGAATAATACCCAATTCATTCTATGAGATATTATCCTGATAAAAGAGAAAAAAAGATATCACAGGAAAATTATACAACAATTTTCTTTTTTACAACAATTTTACAACAGTTCTCTTAAGAATATAGATGTGGCACCAGCAGGTAACATGAGTTCCCACATGGCCCACCACAGTTTGAGTCCTAGACCTGGTGACTTAAAAATCATACCAATCATAGGGGACCAGCAGGTGGTGTGGTGGTTAAGGTGCTGGACACTCCCATATGGCTGATCA